TCTAGCTCAGTAGGTTAATGCAAAGCCCCCCATCAGAAAGACCACTGTGGAAAAACTTTCTTTGCCAACTAAGAATCTGAAAGCCATTCTGTTAGAGCTGTTAGTTTTCTGGTATTTCTGTTATGCCAGTTCAGTGATATAGCGATGGGGAGGGTTCCTTCAAGTTTGCGTCTCACTTTCATCACTTAGCAGGCTCCTTATCAGCCACCTTTCTTCATTCATCTTCATTTTCACATACCAATCTTCATTAAATTCCTACATTTTCCTTCCCTTACAAGGATCTCAATATCAGTTTGTGGCTGCTATTTATCTATGGAGGTTTCTCAAATTATTTAGACAGTCTTTCAGAATCCAACTGTCTAACCAACACAACCATCATTCAGATTAAACCATTAAGTCTCAAACAAACCTCACCTAACCTAACACATCATTCTTCAAATTATAAACTTGATGGATGGATTGGGATCCAATATGAATATGGACATTTAATCATTACTGATCATCCTTGTAAGGCTACCTTATAGAAGTTACTCATCAACTTCACTAGCTAGTGTTTTAGAAAGGTACATGAAAAAACTTACTTTTTTCACATAAAACTGAAATCCCTTGCTCAAGTTAAACATCTTCATAAATACCTGAGCTGAATAATTAATGAAATTCAATGTCTTGGGCCATATATCTTCTACCTTTTCTTCAGTTATTCTTTAAGTGCAGGTTTATATATTCATATTGGAAAGGTAAAGGCAAGAAGACTGCAACAAATACATTATATGATACCCCACTTTATATCTGAAACGAAACACAGCTATCATTTCGGTATGGATTAATGAACTTAGATAAAAACTAAACGTCTACTACATGAAGCTAGATGCTAGCTGAACATGGCTCTCTTGTCAATTCCAACAAGGACAATGCTTAACAGAAACTCTAGAAGGCTGAGTCATGAGAGTTATAAAGATTGTACGTATTATATATAAACCCTAAGATCATCGATCATATCCACGAAATCTTGTAATAATAAATTAAAGCCAACTATATTGTCCCCCTCGTCGACCTTATCATATGGAAAACAGCTCACAGAGAATGAGACAAATCAAAGAGGAGTATAGTCCCCACTATAGAAGCCACAATTTAATCTTCCATGTTCTTCTTATTTATATATAGGCACCAATGCCTAACCCTAAACAACTTATATCTGTTTTATCTCTCTCTCTCTCTCTCTACCACATGGGGTTTCCCTGTTACTCCTAAAAACCTTTTTCATTAATTCCCTATTGAATGATAGTTATAGCAAACAGATGGCTTGCTTTTTCGTTTTTTCTTTTTCTGAATTTAGGGTCCCATAAATTCATTTGTATGACTGCCTCAAATTATGCTGTGTTATGTCCACCAATAACTATCCCAGCAACACTCATAATATACCTCTGAGTTACATATATATTAATGAATTCGGGTGTATACTATGAATGTCGATTATGATTTGATGATTATCAAATGTCCAGATAATTTATTTATGGCTACTTTTAAATAATGGTTATGATATTATAATTAGAATTTTCGGCATGCCTATTTAAATTGAGGTTTTCTGCACAAGCATACACATGTTTTAATTTTTCAAATCTAATTAGGATAATTTATTTTTTTATTTTTGAAAAATTTTGTGATTTTTTAAATATCAATTTTGTTTAAAAAATGAAATGAATTTAAATTTAAAATTTAGTTAAGTGGGGTTTACTCTTTATCTTGAAATAGACTAATCTTTATTGTCATCACTATAGGATATTCTTAGTCACACCAAAAAATTAATACTACTTTGGTTCTTAATATAAGAGTTCGTTTGACTTTTATTTTAGTTTTAAATATAAGACCGCAATCTATTTTGTCTCTTATATTTATCAATTTTTTTTCAAAATAGTATATGTAATAATGGTAGTTGTAGACTTGATTAGCAAGAATATTTTAGGGAAGATAATATATATTTGTTACAAATAACTAATTTAACTAATTTTTTAATCTACTCAAATTAGTTAATTAGCTCTTGTATTAAGGATTAGAGATAGTATTTTGTTAGAAGATATTCCAATATGATCAAGGCCAATTCACTCCAATCCAAATCATATTGATTTCGCCAACGACTTTTGGATCTAGTGGCACTGATCTCTTCTTTGGGAAGAAGATCACAGGTCCAAGCCTATGTTCTGCATGTGGATGTGTTTATTATGTGTTAAAATATTTGTTTATGCTTTTCACTTAACCCCTAAAAATTGTTCTTAATTTTTTTAATCAAATATGTTGAAAATGCCAAAGACTGGTCCTCAAAACATCAGTTTTATTTGCCGACAGGAATTTTCAAAATGGTCAATATATCTGTGGCCAAGAGTTTTCAACGTAGCTTTCATCAAACCTCATTACATCATGCATCAACAGATTTAGTCTGTCACAAAAAATAGAGTCATAGTCAGTCAATTAAATCTCAATATCTGTGCTTTGCTTTTTTGTTATTATTCAACAAAGAAGATTGTGCTCCTTTTTCTTTATCAAATTAACCAGGTTTCATTCTCTGACTTAATTAATTCTCTCATATGGCTTCAAGTGTTTTATGCTTCATCATATATGCATATCCTCAGATCTCTTCTTCTTTTTGTTTTTTTGTTTTTTGCCCCTGCGTGTTGCTGGTTTTCAGTCATTTTCTTTCTTCTTCTTTTTCTGGTACCATACACACAAACATACGTACGTAATTGATGTCTGGCCACACTTTTATAGGCTTATGATAAAATACAAGTCATTATCTGCGTTTTCCCAATGATTATGTCGTTTTCCATTTAGGCAAGGCTTTGAGAGAGAGAGAGAGAGGAATAATATACATATGCACAATTACACTTCAAGAAACTGCGCCAAGGATGATTAGTATATAGTTATACAGTAATGGATATTTACATATATATATATATATATTCATGGATTTAGTTTAGGACGAACCGCGTGGTTATGAAGGCCCTGATGTATAACAGATATTTTTCATAATTTTATGATGAGCTGGTTAATTAGATATATCCAAACTGGCCCCAAAAATAAAAAAATAGATATCCAAACAGGAAACCTCATATAATTTCTCATTTAATTTATGGACACCTATAGGTTCTAAGGACTGAATATAATCACAGAAATTAACAAGTGAACGGGCATGGACTTCTTGTTATTTTTTACATTAAAACTTATCATTATATATATATATATATATATATGTATGTATAATGCTCATTTGTTGTAAAACTTTGATTACATTCCTTTTTTGAAACCTTACTTATCATGCCAAATGTCTTTGTGCTTTATAGTTACCTTTTTTACAGTATAATTTTGTGAACATATAATATCAATATTTATATTAGTACATCAATATCATCCATCTAATAAAAAATGCATACATACAAAGTCACATATTCATAAATTGTAAATAGTATGAGTCAAATTTTATACTATACTACTGCCTCCTATTCTTAATATAAGAATTAGTTTGACATTTAGTTGGTCTTAAATATAAGACCTTAATCTATTTTATCTATGATATTTATTTATTTTAATTATCCTCAAATAATCCTTGTAGTAATTGCATATGTTAAGGAGTTATTGTTAATGGTTAATTCAAACACGCATGATTAATAAGGATACATTAGAGAAAAGACATCTATTTAGTACAAATAACTAATTTAACTAATTTCTTTAATCTCCTAAACTGGTAACTAGGTCTTATATTATACTTGATCACCTAATGAGATCTCTCAATGAAGATGAATGACACTTAAGTCTCCAAAAGATGAATTTATTGACATTAGATCTTGAAAATTTGCGCTGAAAGACAAGTTACGAATATTATTTGCAATTCCTGTTTCATCAAAAAAATATGGTACCTTGCTGTTATCAGATTAAACTTTTATAATTTAATTATCATGCCACCCCCCACAAAAAAAAAAGAGAAACTTCCTATTATTAAATCAAAATAATTTAACTTTTGGGACCTTACTATTATTCATATTTAAAAAAAAAAAAACCTCTAATGATGATCAAGTACTTAATAAATATTGATCTAGTTATCTTTTATTTTTTTAAAAAATTTAATATATTTAACTTGTACGACTCTTGTTTTGTAAGGTTTCTCTGCTTCTATCTTAATACATAATTTAGGATTCATCATCTTACATTTCTGCTTACAACATGCTCACACAACGAAAACTCTCTTTATCCATTGGTTTTCCTTTTTTTTCATTCTCCCATTCTTTTAATAATTGATGCCAATGAATAATGTTTAGTGATTAAGTCATAAAAATCACCGTTTCAAACCTCTCCTCTTCTTTCCTCCTCTTTCTTTTTCTAATCTTTAGATTAATATTTCAATGGTTGAGATTTAAACCCTTTTAAAACTATTATAAAAATAAATGAATAAATAAATAATAAATTACATACTATATTAAAATTTAATTCTAATGGTTTGCAAATGCATTAAATATTTTGAAAAAAATTTTATAAATAGTTTATAAAAATTAAAATTTAAACTGTTCAAATATTTTAATTCAATAGTTAGAAAAAGAAGATGACTAAAAAGGACGAGAAGTGAAGAAGATAGGCTCTAAACCGAAAAAACACTACGATATGGAGACATATCAAGAATTTAAGTGTTTATAAAGGCATATCATTTTTTGCCAACGTTTATGAAGACATATCATGCTTTCTAGCTTAGAATATAAATCATATTCATAAATTAGTTCAAATAATATTTTCATTTTTTTTATTCTTTACAGAAGATAATTAACTATATATAGAGTAAATTACATCTTTTTCCCTGAAATAATCATTAAATTAAAGTTGATAATTCTTTTATTTTAAAGGTTATACTATACTCTAATTTACATCACTTTAATACATGTTAATAATTTTTTCTCAATTTATTGATAAAAACGTTAAATATAAACGTAGTCATAGTCATCTAAGGCATTCAAACATGTGAGATATATTCATTTCACACTAACATTAAATCTTGATACAACCAAATTTTCCATTCTTCAACTAACAGAAACATACAAAAGAAAAGGACACTACACTTGCAAAGTTACGTGATAATAACCTTAAATATTTGCCATCAAATTAATTTTTCTAAAATAAAAACAACAATAATAAAAACGGAAGAGAAGCATTTGGTTATATGAATATGAAAGCACGAGCTTCCGAGTCCTATATAAATGAAAAGGTTTAATTATTCGAAGCCCCACATTGACATTGACGATCGATGAAAGAAACAGAGCTTTCAATTCCTATTAAGGAGTTCTTCTATCATCTGCAACGCCATCTTCTGTTCCTCGTCCAGCTCACTGTTTTCTTCTTCTGGTTTCACCTTCTCTTCCTCCTCCGTCTCCGGCGCCGGCGACTCCCTCGTCATCTCTGAGCCTTCAAGTTTCTTCCTTTCCAGTTCCACCATCATGACCCAGTTGGAGTCAGAGCGAGGCCCTGCTCGCTTCTGCCACACTCCTATGTGGCAGTTCTCTGTGTCCAGCCTCAGGCAAGTAAGAGATGGCGATGGGGATTTACAGCACTTCCGAAGCTTTGCACTGAGAGCTTCAGAAAAAGATGAGGAGGAGGACGAAGAAGATGAAGAATGGTGATTTTGATTGTTATTGTTGTTATTGGCGGCCACTGGGAAGTTTGTTTTGGCGTTTCTACCGCTCATCAAAATGGCTGCTTCATCGTATGCTCGTGCGGCTTCTTCTGCAGTATCAAACGTCCCTAGCCACACCCTTCTTTTCCTGAATTCACAAACCACATCAGATTTAAGGAATTATTTCTATGAAATTCGTTAAAAAAGCACAAACATGACGTGTGAATTAGAATCTTTTTAATACCCAATAACATAAAAAACTTATGAGTTTTTGACAGCGACTGAAAAAAAATGAATCAATGATGAACAGGGGATCTTGCAGGGGCCAGAAATGTCCAGGCAATTAAAGAAAAAACAGAGTAATCGCTACTTTTTCCTTTCTGATGAATTTTCTGGGGAAAAGACAATGAAAGTACGTAAGGCATAGAATTTTGAACATATGACATCACGTCAAGGCAATATATATCCGAAAATGAAACGATCTTATATGTTAAGGAATGAAGAACTGGGGAATGAATACACATGAATTCACAGAGCCAGAAGAAAAACAGAGCAGTACAGTACATTTTCCCTTATGAGTATTCTGAGGAAGGAAAACAGAGAAATGGAAAAGAGCAACATCAAGAGAGAGAGAATAGGAAGAATGAAAATAGGTGGGAAGAAAAAGTGCAGAAGAACAGAGGGATGGATGATACTGGGGAGAAATGGATGTATAGTTTGGTGAGAAGAGAATATACAATAAAGGATGGCGAATCTCAGAAACCCATGAGCCCCAATGACGCTGTCTGACACCTCTGAACTTCTTTGATTGCACCATCTCTGTCAGAAACTGACTTCCCCTGAAAGAATAGGAGGGAGAGGGAAGGAGGGAGACGACGGTGAGAAAATGTGAGAGAGAGAGAGATGAAATGAGAAAGTCATGAAAAGTTACAAGAATGGGGTTGTTATTATAAAGCAGCTTTGGGGCTGGTTGGACTGGAGGCTACTTGTGATTTTTGGTGGAGGAGTCCTAAAGTGTAAACAAAGTGGTCCCGCTTTACTATAATCGTTGTAACAATAATATTGTGATCTTTGAGGTGTCTTTAACTATAATAGCTTTTGTATTAGACTTTTACTGTGGAAGTTTTTAGTTTTGTTCAACTTCCATTATATTCTAAGAAGTTCATCTTTGTTTTCCTTCTTTTTGCATTTCTTACAGTGTGTAATAATTTTTTCTCCAACTTTACGCTAGGTAATAACATATGAGAAAACATATTTAGTTTTATAACATGGTGATATACATATGTTGTTAGTATTATGAATTTGGAAGTTTAGAGAGTCGCCCAATGACTTTGTGTTTGTGAAAGATACTCTAATGTGTTGTTTGAATGAGGTGATGACAAAATGGGAGGAAAAATAAATGAAACAATATCATTGTAATATATGTCTTGAAAACTTATTTATAATTAAGAGGACATTTAGATTAGCTTTTTAGAAGTGATTTTATAATGTCCAAGATAAGTAGATGAGAAAATTTTTATCCCAACTTCTGTGAAATCACTTTTTTTTTTAATTGATTTTAGGAGGTATTCAAACTCCCCTTTAAAATTGTGAAAGATCGCAATTCCCTGTATTACTCGTGATTTGAAACTTTTAATAAATAAAAAGAAAGAACAAAATTTCAGAAAATTATTTATATTTATTATGTCAAATTCTTTAATTTTACTTTTTATTTTTATATTGTTTGTAGTTGAAGTGCATATGTGCATTTGTAAATTCACTTATGAACACCTATACATTTTTGTATCACCTCCTATAATATCGTAAATCAAGATTTGTAAATTTTCATAGGATACTTGTAATATGTTCACTATTAATTAGTTGTTAAATTATGTATGTGCAATTATAAATTTACTTATAAAATAGGTTTAAGGTACACCCAGCACCCCCAAGTATTTTGCCAGGTGCACCCAGTGGCCTAAAGTAATTTATGGTGCAATTTTGCCCTCAAAGTAATTAAAATGGTGCAATGGTATCCCATGCTAACAGATCTGTTAGTTTGACCGTTAAATTGACGAGTCAGCACAAGTTTGACCAGAAAATCTAACGTGGCATGTCTAATAAGCAGGTGATGTGGAATTTTTTCGGGGTTAAGGTGCATCCAGCACCCCCAAGTATTTTTCAGGTGCACCCAGTGGTCTAAAGTAATTTATGGTGCAATTTTGCCCTCAAAGTAATTAAAATGGTGCACCGCTATCCCATGCTAACAGATCTGTTACTTTGACTGTAAAATTGATGAGTCAGCACAAGTTTGACTAAAATAATCTGACCTAGCATGTCTAATAAGCAGGTGACATGGCTTTTCTTGTTAATTCCATTGTTTTGTCTGAATATTACTCCTCTGGTCTTATTTATAAGGCACTTCCAGCATGTTTCAAACAGACCATGGAAAACCCTAAATTTCATTAACTCTCATTTAAATTTTAATAACTTTCCAACTTTATCCCTATTTAATATACATTATACCTCACATAAACAAAGTCAATACAATAATAAATGAGGGGTAAATTTGTACATCCATACAAAAAATTTCTCTCAGTGCCTTATAAATAGGACCAAAAAATATCTTTTCTCTCTACCCTATAAATAGGACTAGAGGAGTATCTCTGAAAAAATTTCTTACTCTGAAAAAAATTCCAAGAGCCGAAGAGAGCATTTACTGAACAGAGAAAACAAAGCAGTGGCAGACGAAAAAAATTCCACATCACCTGCTTATTAGACATGCTAGGTCAGATTATTTTGGTCAAACTTGTGCTGACTCATCAATTTCACAGTCAAAGTAAGAGATCTGTTAGCATAGGATACCGGTGCACCATTTTAATTACTTTGAGGGCAAAATTGCACCATAAATTACTTTAAGCCACTGGGTACACCTGAAAAAATACTTGGGGGTGCTAGATGCACCTTAACCCCAAAAAATTCCACATCACCTGCTTATTAGACATGCCACATCAGATTTTCTGGTCAAACTTGTGCTGACTCATCAATTTAACGGTCAAACTAACAGATCTGTTAGCATGGGATACCGGTGCACCATTTTAATTATTTTGAGGGCAAAATTGCACCATAAATTACTTTAGGCCACTGGGTGCACCTGACAAATACTTGGGGGTGTTGGGTGCACCTTAACCCTTATAAAATATGAACACCTAGTATTTTATTATTGTTAGCTGTTAAAATGCACATGTATCACCTATGAACTTGACCTAATAATAAATATAACTAACTTGACTTGAGTTTTTATCTTTAAAAAATGAAACAATAACCCACTGAAGAGAATCCAAAACCAATCAGGCCTCCAAAATCCACAAGGCAAACAAAAATTGAAAAAAAAAAAACAAGAAAAAGATGAATGATTGAAGTAGAAGGTTGAAGTGATAAAAGAGAAAAGAAGAAGGAATTATTGGTTGAGCATTTGGTTGGGCAGTTTTATTTGGCAGTAAGTGATGTATTGTATTACGCAAGGAGGAAGTGCTTTAGATCCCTTACCCGAAAGTCTGTTTGATTCATATACCAAACTTACATTTCTCAATCTAATCTCACAACCACAAAATATTCTCTTTCTTTTTATCTATATTATTATATGCCACATCCATCCAATAACATAATGTTAAGTTCCTAGTTATTTTTGTCTTCTTTTGCTATTTTTCTATTTTTTTTTTTAATGTTAGATTCTCTGCACTTGATGAAAAAGTGTGACAATGATATATAATTTCAACTTGCATACGTCTTTCCTATTGTACACAATATTATTCACTTATATGGGGATTCAATTTGAAATTTGTGTCCATTGCAAAACTGCTAATATTGATCAAAGTTGTTGATTGGAGGTATAAAACATCTTCAAAGATTAAAGGACATTTTTATGAATATTATTCCTTAACTTGAAGAATTTATGGGTATTCTGAGAAAAATTATGAAACAATATGATACACAATCTTTCAAAATTGGTGTAGTATTCTCATTTTCTCTTTCTAATGACCAATATTGGGTCAACCATTATTGCAAGCCATGATGAGACTTTTTTGATATAATGTTGACCATTAAATTAAAACATTGCAACATTAATATACCGATTTTGAAATATTACGTGTTATACGTTTCTACAATTTTTTTATGGTGCGTATAACTCTTCCTAAAATACTTTTAAGACAAAAATACACTCTAACCCTGTCTTTAAAATGATTTTTATTCTTTTTATTATATCAAGCTTGAGTATAAATAGCACAAATAACTTGCATAAACAAATGAATTGCTCCTTTAAATTCTTGATATGAAAGCTATTTAACTATAACTTGATTAGATTAAGAAAGTTAAATAAATTAATTAAAAAAAACATGATACAATCTCCTTAAAATATCCTTGTGTAAAATTAAATTATGTTACCTACAGTTTTAAATATAAAATCTAGTTTTACACTAAAAACTAAATCTTATATTTAAGACTAAAAGTAGCATATTAATATATAAATTAGGTGAATCAGTTGGTGAAAGAATGACTAATGTGAGAGACAAAAAATAAATTAAGATTTTATATTTAAAACTAAACATAATCCACTAACTAGCTCCTTCATGGAGTTCTAGCGTATGCAACTGAATAAGAGTATTAATTGTACGTGTTCCATTTCATGAACAAGAAGTTTTGTTGAAAATTAATGTAGAAGAAGTAATATATCGCTGTACTTGCAGAGATTGTCGCTTGACAGCTTGATCTCATCATTACATGCAACTTAATTAATTATCTGGTTCCCTCAAGATCACAAAGTGATGCAAAATAATACTGCATTAGCTCCTTTTTATAAGATTATTAGTATAATTATGTGGTTCAAGAAATCTGTTAGTTTTAGTTAAAAGCAACAAATTATCAGAACTGTATTTCCTTTTTTCTTAAATACACGCTTATATATAGGAAAGTTAGATGAGAAAAAGAATAGTGAGAATAAAAATGAAAGAGAATGTATATGAAAAAAAAAGATAACACAATGAATTATGGGTAAAATTGATTAAAATAATGCATTTAATGTTCAGACAATAATATCAAATTTAATCTTATAAAAATATTTAGATTAATTTAAAAAATTTGAATTTTATAGAAAGGAATATCGGAGAGAGTAGTATATTCAAAACTCGAAATTTTTGGTGGAACAATAATATTAATGAAATGAAAAAGAAGAGGCACGAGAGGTAAAAGTGGAAAACAAGAAGAGGGTAATTAAACAAAAGAAGAGAGAATAAAAGGAGGGGGGAAGTGGGGGCAATGACGAAGATACATTATGAATGAAACGTAGCTGTCGTAAGAGGGAAGGTGGATTGTCGTTTACGTGGGACAATGAGAAGGGAAGGATACGTATTCGTGCTTTATATTATTACTTATGTGGTTCAAAAGGAGGAAGAGAGGAGGGTGGGGGTGCCCTTAAAGACAAGGACACAAGAGATGAATAGTAAAAGGAACAAACAACGCCTCACGTTTATCCCAATTCCTCCTCCATGTCTCGCAACAAAGTCTCAAACACACATCTGTCTTCAATCATGCATATAATACTATTTCCTATTCTTAATATAAAGACTAGTGACTAATTTGAATAAATTAAAAAAATTAGTTCAGTTAGTTATTTTGTAATAAAAATGTATTGTATTTTTTAAAATATCCTTCTAATTAAGTGTATTAGCTAGAACTATCATTATTACAGGATTATTTTGGAAAAAAAAAGATAATATGAGAGACAAAGTGATTGTGCCCTTATATTTATTATCAAAATAAAGTCAAACAAGCTTTTAT